AGTACTTTGCCCAAGGTTATCCCTCCAATAATGGTGGCACTGGCATTCCAACCTGATTGCTTAGATCTTGGGCTTATAATTTTCCAAGTCCCTCCACTTTCACGAGCTTAAATTCTCACGGTCTTGGGAGGCAGGGAAGTTCATTATGAGGTCACTGGACAGGTCTCATGGCCCGCGCAAAACCACACGGTCTCTGTGTTGAAGCAGCACCCAGAATTCCTGGCTTCCAGTCCAGGGCTTGTTCTGGCAACAAAAGTCTGCATTGAACAAGGACATGCATGTGCATTTGAGCTGTGTGGGAGCTTAGGACCTGTCTCAGGATGGAGTTGAATCCATAACTCTGGGCATTTTCTCTCTCTCTTTCTCATGCATGCACACACGTGTAGGCAGGCAGAGCCCTGCGGTAACAGCCTGGATCTTTCTGGAATAGACAGGAAGGAGCAGCAAGGAGGTGCACAGAAACCTTTACTCCACCTCACTGAGTTGCTTTCAGTTTTTCTATCGTACACCGGCATCTCTGTAATCAGGCTACGCCCTCTTCCAAGAACACGCTCATCTGTGTCCTCACTCCAGCTAACTCATCAAGTGTCATGACCCACTTGGATCTATAGCTTTTCCAGGAAAGCTTGCTCTTTGTGCCTGAGCCTTGGTGGTATGACCCCTCATTGCCTCTCTGATCTCATACCACCACAAGACTCCCTCTCTCTCACGGTCACCTCTGGGCATGAAAACACATCCCCTGCCTCTGAGGGTAGAGACCTCACTCTCTCATGGTGCTGTCCTTACTCTCTAAGAACCATGCCTGGCCCATGGGAGGTCAAACTCATGGTCATCGAGTCGATTCTGAGAACAGAGTCAAACTGCCCCTGTGGGTTTCTGAGGCTGTACATCTTTAAGCCCCATCTTTCTCCCTCAGGGTGGCTGGTAGCTTTTAACTACTGACCCTGCAGTTAGCAACCCACCCAAATTGTAGTCTACTGTGCCACAGCAGGCACCGAGCTTCAGTGCTTGTTATGGTCGCTGGCTCAGAAGCTCTGCAGGAGAAAGGCCTGGCAATCTGCTCCTGTAAAGGTTACAGCCTGGACAATCCCAGGGAGCAGATCTACTCTGTCACACAAGAGCACTGTGAGTTGAAATCAACTCAGCGGACCTAACAATGGCTGAGATGGACCAGACATGGGTTCAAATGCCAGCCCCCGCAGACTTACGCTTCCTCCTCATCAGATCAGTCTCCTTGCATTAGGGAATTATGGACCCGGGTCGCCAATCATATCTGCCAGACAGAAGATAACCCAGATCCAGTTCGCCGCATTCAACAGGATTGCTCAGCCTGCCAACACATCCCATATCTCAGCAGAGAAGTCAGACTAAGGGTAAAAACAAGATGAGGTATTGTTCTGGAATGACTTGGGCCCCCAATAGGTGCCGGAACCCTAACCCCCACACCTGAGAAGGTAACGCTGCTTGGAATAGAGTTTTCTTGGTTATGTCAACGAGATCGTACCTGAGTCGGGTGGGTTCTGAATCCAATCTCTTCTGAGTTACAGTGTCCTTAGATGCAGAGAACTGGGAATGCCAGGTGGTGAGGGGGAGTCACATCTACACGCAGAGGCATCAAGGACGGCTGGGGACTAGCACTGAGAGTCCCGGGTTTGGACTTTTAGCCTCTAGAACTGTGAGGAAATAAATTTTGGTTCTTTAACGTCACCTCCTGTGTTGACAGCATCATTCGGTAACTCAAACAGGTACCCATCTCAGAAGCTGGTGCTCAAAAGACACGGATTTCCTTCCTGGGCGAGGCTGGTGAGGGGCTTGGAGTGGGGAGAAGGACTCAGCCTAAGAATTCTGAGACTCTCAGGGGCTGCTGCTCCCTGAGCTTTGGTCCGGGAGAGAGGTCTCTGCCCTGGTCCAGAGGGGTGGGGACAACTGGCTATTTGTAAAGGCACATAGTACTGTGGCCTGCCCAACTGACTGACTGGAAGAGATATTTGTACCCATTCCAAAGAAAGGTGACCCAACTATAGGACAATATCATTGATATCACATGAAAATCAAGTTTTGCTGAGAATCATCCAACAAAGTTTGCAGCAGTCCATTGACAGGGAACTGTCTGAGGTTTGGGCCAGATTCAGAAGAGGATGTGGAACAAGGGATATTATTCCTGTTGTTAGGTGGATCTTGATACAAAGCAGAGACTAGCAGAAAGAGACTTACTTGTGTTTCATTGCCTATGCAAACGCATTTGACTGTGCGGATCATGACAAACTGTGGGTAGACTTGAAAAGAATGAGAATTCCAGAACACTCCACTGTGCTCATACAGAACCTGCACATGGATCAAGAAGCAGTTGTGCAAATGGAACAGGGGCATACTGCATGGTTTAAAGTCAGGAAAGGTGTGTGTCAGGGTTGTATCTTCTCACCGTACTTATTCGATCTGTATGCTGAGAAAATCATGAGAGAAGCCGGATGTGTCAGTCCTGGCTGACTAGAGAAACAAATCCAGGGACACTCATGTGTTAACCTGGGTTGACAAGAGAAATAAATTCACAGACACTCGTGTGTATGAGAAAGAGCTTTCTATACAAGAGCAGTTGAATATTAACAAAACATCCCAGCCCAGTCCAAATCAAGTCCATAAGTCCATTATGTCCAATACCAAGCTATAAAGTCCTCTTCAGACTCACAAACACAGGCAATGACACTGAATGCAGGAAGATTACAGGCCAGTGGGTGGGAAGTAGTGTGGATCCAGTGGCATTGTAAGCATCTCAGCGTTGGCAGGGGCCTCTATGTGGCTCCTCCGGCTCAGGGCACTAGCGCATAGCTCCATGTGTCACTCCATAGAGGTGACACCTCCAGACAGCTATTTATCTCCTTAGTACCTCCAAATGAGGTCATCAAGCTGTGACCTGATTGACAGTATAAACTCCACCCCCTCACTCTGAATCCTCAAACTGACACCAGATTATGTAACTATCACAACTCATAGATATGTAACAGAGAACTTTATATCACAAAGTAATTATGCATCAATAAAACATCCCAACCCAGTCTAGATCAAGTCCATAAATTCGGTATTAGCCCATAAGTCCGATATTAGCCCATGAATTCCTCTTCAGACTCACCCAGTACGTGCAATGATACTGAATGCAGGAAGGTCACAGACTGGTGGGTGGAAATTCCTGTGGGTCCAATGGCAGTGGCCGCATCTCCAGGTCTCTGGCTGCCATTAGTGTGGCTCCATGTGGCTTGTTAATAGGAATGTGAAGCAGAAATAGAGTGTGTGTCCTGTCTCTAGGGAGGAAGAGAAGTCCCAAAATCCTTATGAGAAGGCCACGCTCACAAAGAGGGATCACCAGGCTGTGACCTGACTGATAGGCTAGACTCCACCCCTTCATTCTTATTTATCAAGTTGACATGAAATTGTGGAACTACTACATTGGATTATATGAAGAAGAATGTAGCATAAGAACGGTGGGAGGGCTTATTAACAACCTGCAATTATGCAGATAACACACTCTTGCTTAAATCGAAGAGGACTGGAAGCTACTTGCTGATGAAGATCAAGGATTGCAGTCTTCGGTGTGTATTAAAACTCCATATAAAGAAAACCAAAATCCTCACAACTAGATTAATAGGTAACATCATGATAAATGGACACAAGGTTGAAGTTGTCAAGAACTTAGTTTAGCATGGATCCATAAGCAATGCTCAGGGAAGCAGCAGTCAAAAGAACAAATGGCAAATTACATTGGGTCAATCTGCTGCACAAGACCTCTTTCAAGTGTTGAAAAGCAAGGATGGTACTTTGAGGACTAAAGTACGCCTGACCCAAGCCATGGTATTTTCAATCGCCCCATGCATGTGAAACCTGGACATCGAATAAGGAAGATTGAAGAAGAATCAACACATTTGAACATATTGGGAAAGCATATTGGAAGTACCACGGGCTGCCAAAAGAACAAAAACATCTGTCTGTGAAGAAGTACAATCAGCATGCTCCGTAGAGGCTAGGATGGGGAGACTTCATCTCACCTACCTTGGACATGTTATCAGGAGAGACCAGTCCCTGGGGAAGGACGTCATGCTTGGTAAAGTGGAGGTACAGCAAAACAGAGGGAAGCCCTCAAGGAGATGGGTTGACACACGGGCTGCAACAGTGGGATTAAGTACAACCAACTGTGACCATGATGCAGGACGAGGCAGTGTTTCCGCTTGTTGTCCACGGGGTCGCTATGAGTTGCAATCGCCTCTGACACCTACCTACAGCCAACAGCAGTGTGTTTGCAATGGCTTACTGGTAAATGCCAAGGGAGTGCTTCGAGGGGTGGGGGTGGGCGGTATGTGTCCCGAAATCCATCTTGAGACGTCCCCGTTTCCCTGATCAGCAGGAGTCGCGCCCGACTCCTGGACCGAAACCCGCAAGTGAGCGAGAACGGCGCGCCCCGCGCCCCCTGGTGGTGCTCCCCACACGCCAACCCTCCGCGCGAACGGTCCCTGCGCTTTCGCCGCCAAACTCAAGGCCGCACAAAGGACCCCCAGCCCCCGCTTTTAGAGACCAGGCACTGAGCTCGGAAAGGCGACACGAATCGTCCAGGGGCCACGGGGCGGCGGTCTGACCGCGGAGGCCGCGGGGGATACGTCGCGGAACAGTCCCGCGCGGAAAGATGGGGAGTGTGCGTGCCGGGTGTCGCGGGGCCGGCGGAGGGAGGAGTCCCTGGCGCGCCCCCGTCGGGGACCCGCGCGGCGCCCGGCGCGCTCATCGCCTGGTGCAGGGCGCCCCCTAGCGGGACGCAGAGACCAGGCACGCCGCACGCGCCGAGAAGCCCCGACTTCCCACGAAGAGCGCCGCGCGCCCGAGCCCACGGCGCCGAGGCTGCCGGCTCCTCCCCGCGGGGGCCTCCTACGCTCGGAAGCCAGGCTGGAGCGACGCAGGTCGGAGGATGGGGCTCCCGGAGGCGGGGCTCCCGGAGGCGGGGTACCCGGGGTGGGGCGACGAGCCTCGGGCAAGATCCGCTGGCTCCGCGGGTGCCTCACACTCTGCCCGGAGATGTCGGCGTACAAGCGGGTGGCGAAGGTAAACTGCGGGAGGTGGGGGTGCCCGGAGGGGGCGCCCCTTTTCCCCGACCTCTCTCACCCTTCCCCCTCTCTCCTCCCTCCATCCCTTCCCCATTTGTCCGGGTACCAGAACCGGCTGGATCCCGATCATCCTCTGCCCTCTTCCCTGGTGAGAAGAGTCCCTGAGATGGCCAGAACTAGGGTTTAGGGGGGGTGGGAGGTTGGGGGGGAGCTTAGGAAGTGGGGTGCCGCTGGCTGCCTGAACTGTGTGGAGTGATCTGACCGCCGTCGCCCGCTAAACTGGGTTTCAGTTTCACTTCTCCTGCCAGAAATTTGTGAGAGGGATTGCGCGCCTTACAAACCAACACTTCAAGGTGCAGGGGAGGCGCCCTGGTGGCGCCGTGGTTTAAGCTCTGGGCACTAACGGGAAAGGTGGGTCGGTGGTTCAAACCCACCAGCTGTTGTGTTGGAGAAAGATGAGGCGGTCTGCTCCGGTGAAGATGTACCGTCTCGGCGCAGTTCTGCTCAGCCCCATAGGGCAGCTGGGCGTGCAATCCACTGGATGAAGGTGAGTTAAAGGTGCAGGAAGGGTCCCCTGCGATCACCCCGATCACCCCGTGGCAAGGCTAGGGGCGGGGAGTTGACACTTGGGGGATGGTGCTTGCAGCGGAATCCATAGCCTTTGGTCCGCACCCTGCGGGGCTGAAACCTGCTTGATCAGAATGCAGAGCAGCAGGGGACAGCTGACTAGGAGGTGCCCCACCCACCCCACCCGGCATTCTGGGCAGGAGCAGATGCCAGGGCCGTGAGGGGTTGGTTCAGGAAGTGGTGACTTAAACTCCATCCTTGTTCTTTGCACGGTTCGGGGTGGGATGCCCACTGTATGTCGGGAAGCAGAGGTGAACCTAGGGCATACATCCCTGCCCTCCTCTTTTCTAATCAGGACACCTCCACCCCACCCCCCCGACGATGGGGAGGGGGCACATTCTTCCAGGAGATGGGAAAGTCTGGTGTTTGGACGCAGCTAGGGATGCAAAGAGATGCCAGCGAAGAGGCTCTGACACCCCAGGTTTTGAGTCTCCCCAGGGAGTGTGGGGATGTCCACTACCCCCAGCCTCTGAGGGGAAGATGGTTTCGGGCTGGGTTGCCCAGATTAGACTCAGCCCTGAGCTGAAATGTGAAGCCACCCACTGCCATGGAGTAGATTCCAACTTGCCTTTCAAGACAGAGCAGAACTGTTCTTTGGGTATCCGAGGCTGTACATCTTTACGGGAGGGAGCAAAAAGCGTCACCTTTCTCCCATAGAGCAGCAGGTGGCTTGGGAACTGCTGACCTTGAGGTAAGTAGGCCAAAGACGACTGCAGAATGGGGCAGGGTCATTCTGGTGGGAAAGAGATGGGTGCCCCAGGGTGATGCAAGCTGGTTAACACACTCAGCTGCTAACAGAGAGGCTGGGAGCTCAGGGCCACCCAGGGTGCCTCGGAGGAAAGCCCTGGCGATCCACTTCTCAAAACTCACCCACTGAAAATCCTCTGGGGAACCGTTGTACTTCAACACACATGGGGTCGCCATGCGGAACCGAGGAGATGGCAACTGGTTTTATTGATCATTAAATGCCGGGCAGTTTCCGTCGAGTGTTTCATGAACCTTTCCCCTCCATTTTATGGATGAGGAAATGGAGGCTCAGGTAAGATGACCCGTCTGTTCTAGGTCACCCAAGCAGGAAGAGAAAGGGCTGAGGTGTGAGCCAGATTCTTGGGACTTCAGACCTATGCTCTTTCAAAGGCTTTCAGTTTCTGTTTCTCTGAAGTCAGATGATTACTGAACCAAACCAAAGCGCACTGTCATGGGTTAGGACAGGCTAGAACTGCCACCGGACCTTTCTGAGATTGTAACTATTTGCGGAAGTGGCAAACCTTATCTTTCTCCCGAGGAGTGGCTGGAGGTTTCCACCTGCTGACCTTGCAGTTAGCAGCCCAGAATGTGCCTCTCTGGCACCAGGGCTCCTCTGTTACTCCACAGGATCTGGGAAAGTGGTGTGTGTCCTAGCTTAGGTGTCAGCACCTCAGACTTTGGTCAGAAGTCACCTATGATCGATAAGTCCTAACTATTCCTGTCTATCGTTCAGTCAGGGAGATGTGCATTCCTGTGCGTCCCTGTCCAACCTTGGGCTCTTCCTTGCCAAGGAGTAAGAGGATACAGGACCTAGCAGCAGATGCTTCTAGTTTGGGGTGAAAGAGTATGGGACACTGCCCACTCCACTATCATGACCCCAATTCGACCTTACAAATGTGGCTGGATCAGAGCATGTACACTGGTACAGATATGAGCTCGCAACATAGGGAGTCCAGGACAGATAAACCCTTCAGGACCAATAATGTGAATAGAGATACCAGGAGGGGAAGGGGAAGGTGGGGTAGAAAGGGGGAACCGATTACAAGGACCTACATATAACCCCCTCCCAGGGGGGCAGACAACAGAAAAGTGGGTGAAGTTAGACATCCGTCAATGTAAAGCATGACAAAATAATAATTTATAAATTATCAAGGGTTCATGAGGAAGAGAGGGTGGGGGAGGGAGGGGAAAAATGAGGAGCTGATGCCAAAGGCTCAAGTAGAAAGAAAATGTTTTGAAAATGATGATGGCAACATATGTACAAATGTGCTTGACACAACGGATGTATGTATGGATTGTGAAAAGAGCTGTAAGAGTCGCCAATATAATGATTAATGTATATAATTGAATAATGCATTGTTATAAGACTTGTAAGAGCCCCCCAATAAAATGATTTAATAAAAAAAGAAAGAGGGAACAGATCACAATGATCGATGTGTGTTTATGTTTTAGGAAGGGGGACTGGAAAGATCTGAAGGACTAGCGTACTAAAGGACCCCATGTCCACGGGGAAATGAGGTTTGGGGACATTCTCTGCCTTTGTTTACCCCAGACTTTCTCCACCTCCTCACTATTGGTGTTGGCTGGGGAGTTGTTTGTGGTGACAGGTTTTTCCTGGGCATTGTGGGATGTTTAACAGCATACCTGGCCTCTGCTCGCAACACTAGATGGCTGTAGGCCCCCCCTCCCCCCCCTCA